TGTGGGAAAATTCAACCACCAATACTTCATCACTTAAAACCAACTAGGGTGAATACATCTCACACATGAGATAAAACCAATCCTTACACTTTTCCGAGTTGTAAAGTGCTGATGGCGCGACCTTTAAATACGCAAGTAGCTGAACAACTTTGAGCTGTAGATAGTCAGACATTGCCGAGGGTAAGATAAGCTGAGTTCAGAGGCTGCGATACGTTAAATGTCTCACCGGACTCCGAAGTAGGGTTGCCTTAACCCTTTAACTGCTGGATTGTGCGAGGAAGACCTCGGCTCAACGTCAAGCGACCCCGCTGAATCTGTGCTGAGCTTGCGCTCGTCATGTGATGGGCATCATCCGAGCCAGAAGCCATCACTCACGAACAATCACAAAAAACACTAAACTATGAAAGTGGCCGCGCGAAATTTTAGTTACTTCTTATGTCCAACTTTACAATCTTATTGAAGCATCCCATCAATTTGTTGGCACCAGTGCTTACTTTACACCCATAGAAACTAGTGAAATTGATTTATGAAAAAGGGAGTCCATAGAGTCACAGCTTTTTCTTATGTGGATGAACTAGCAATTCTGAGGCTTGTTTTTAAGTTCGAAAGTTGGCTTCTATGCATGTCCCAGAAGTATGGAGGGAGACCAATGGTTTCGAAATTCATTACATTACACCAAGACCAAAGAATTAATGGTCAGGAGAGTTAGTCACATTTGATTTTTGAAAGCATTTCTCTCGCGTGATATCATTCTCAAGGTTATTATTATATTATTATATATATTATATATAATAATAATATATATATTATATAATATTATATATATATATATTATCCCCAATGTTTTTAACTATCGATAGACCTAATTTGCCACTTAAGGACGACTTTGTTAAAAAGAGACTAATATAAAATATTTAAAAATTACATAATCTAATCAGGACAAAAACCAGAATTGGGAAGATCATCTTCCAATACTCTTCATTCCAAGGAGTTCTTGAAGCTACAATCAATAGTGCATACATTATATGATTTTGTGTTTCGTCAGGTAAGCTAGAGTCACGATAAGAAACCTAAGAAGTTGGGAATTCGATTTAGAACATTGTGAAATGTATAGAAATCATCGGCAGGAAAGGAAATGAGAACAGGTCAGAAAGTGGAGAACCGGCCACAGGTCTTAATTAGGCTTTGCCAAATAGTAAGAATTTTATTTTTTTAAAACTCAATACCTACACTGATCAATTAGCAGAAGAATTATAAATTGTAGAGGTACCAAATAAGAATAGACTGGTTACTAACACCATTAATAAGCTTAAATAACATAGACACATCACTATTGAACGAAAGTTAGTTTTATATGACTCTCTTGGTTATCAAAGGAAGATGGGTTAGACGATTCTTTTAACAGATTTAGGGGAGCATACATTTCACTGTTTGAAAAGGCCTCACCAAATTCAGGAGGATCGCCTTAGACTTTTCTCTGTTGGATTGTGTGAAGAAGACCTGCGCTCCAGATGAATCGGTTCTGTGATTTCGTCAGTCATGTGACAGACATTTTCGTAGCGAAAAGGTAGATTTTACGAAAAATGCCTCAAAAGCACTAAATCAAACGGAAATCGAGGATGAGCAAAAGTCTTCTTCACCCACTCCAGCATTCACAACTCCGTCGATGCGATATGAGGTCGATTTGCCAACTGCGTCCATTCTCCCCATTTTAGACGAAATGAAAGGCATCCCAGCATCTCTACAAGCAAAAAACTGTCCACTGAACTCGGCCGACTTGCAAGTCCCACTCTGACGTGAATGGGCAACTATGCGCGAGCAGGGAGGACAAGGCTGGGCACAATTTGATAAGGGGCGAAACTGATTAGCGCAGACGGTGATGCGATGCCAGTAAAGTTTAGTGGCGAATAAAACCGGTCTCCATGTGACTCGCTTTGCTTGGCACCGGATACCCGGCCATCCTTGATTTGCCCACAAAAAGGTTAAGACATGCGCACATGCACACTTTGGTACATATCGGCCGGCCGGCCGGCTTCTCTTGAATGCTTAAAATGGACATGAAATTGCGATTTACGAGATGGCGATACTGTGTTGCTGACGCCATTTCAGACTTAGTCCCGATGGTTGGGGATGAAGAGGGGCGGTACATGGTAACATTCTGTACCATGTGCACCTCGACAACCCGAAGTGTAAGAAATGTTTAGGGCTCCATCTTCTCCTCCAAGTACCACCTGTTACCGCAGCACGCCTCATGGGCCGGCCTCCACCGGTCACGCTTGGGCTGTCATAAAAGTGAAGAGGACACAACCGGACAGGTCACCGAGACGACATCGCCCGGTCGGCAGGCGGCTGCAGTTGACGTCGCTACTAATTACCGACACGATTGAGAGGCTCGTCGCGCCGGACAACACGTCACCTCCTCCCACCTCGCGACTCGCGGCAGAGGCCCATCGTTTCGTGGTACCGACCACCTCTGCTCCAGCAATCCTCGACCGCCCACTCCGCCGCTGACCCTGTGTCTGTACCTGTACCTGTACCTGTACCTGTACCTGTACCTGTCCGGCCGGTAAGGAGGCCGTCGGCAGCCAAGCACGAATGACCTCTCCCTCCGCCCCACCCCTCGTAATTGCAGCGCCTAATTCGATGTACCCCCGGGATTTTATCATTCCCAGCATGATAGAGGTTAGAGCATGCCCAAGACCAAATGACCGTATAAACCAACGACCTCGCAATCTTCAGCTTTCCAAACCAAGGCATAAACTCTTTTGGGCAACTTAACTAATGCAAATGGTCACTTACATGAAGCTCTCTCTCTCTCTCTACTTCTATCGCTTGCTTTCTCTCTTCATATTGTTCTGTCGTTATCTCTCTCCTCCAATCTTAATATTTCCTTCTTTCTTTCTTTCTTTCCTTCATGCCCTTTCGTTCACCCTCTTTACATATTTCTCTTTGTCCCACCGCTTCCAATTTCTTCTTATACTTTTTTTCTCTCTCTCTCTCTCTCTCGTTTCCCACCTCCCTCTCCGCATCTTCCTTGCCCCTTTACTATATACCTTACTCTCTTTTTCTCTCTTTACCTCTTGCCTACCCTCTTTGCCTGTCATTACCTTCATTTTGCAACTTTCTTCTCTTGAATATTTGCCGAGCTTTCATCCGTCGGGGGACATACATCGCCAGAGCAGGACACCCTGCTTAATGATAATTCACCAGAACGATGGCCTCTTTAAACTAAATAAAAGTTACTCCAACATTCCTCTCTCTTTTACCTCCGTTTTTAAGTAGGCTGTCATGACTACCAGTAAATCAGATATTTGAGATTATTTTGTTTAAGGTGATGTACGTCTGGTAGTTGAATTTTCATCTCTACTCAAATAATTGTGGAAAACCTCAATTACCAGACTTTCATCATCTTAATGAAATAAGATGAACACAACTCATACTCTCCTCTCCCGTTTTTGCAACTTGGTCGGAGGTTAAGGAGACTACGAAGGAAAAGATGGCCACACCGTCTTAGCCTTCATGTCTACGATTCTTCTCTCTTACTCTGCGTTTCTTTCCCTCCTTCCCTTTATGCTTTTATTTCTCTTCCTATCTTTTATTTTCCTCTGTCTTCGCCTATCTTCTTCTCTCTCTTCCTATGTTCATCTCTTTGTTTCTCTCTCATTCACTCTATTTATATATTTTTCTCTCTTCCCACCTTACCTCCTCTTCTTATATCGATTTTTCTCTCCACTTTTCCTTCTCATCTTATTTTCCCAGAGTTTGCACTCTTCATCTTTCTCTTTCTCTCTTTCCCTCGCTTTCCCACATATTTTTCTCTCGCGCTTAATCTTCTCTTTCTTCATTTCTTTATCTCGTTCTTACCCTCTTTCCCTGCAATTATATCCATTTTTCACTATTCTTCCCTCTCACCCTTTGTTGGTTTGTTTCTTCTTCCCTCATCACTCTTTCCTTCTTTTTCTTTATTTCTATTTTTTCCTAACTTATCTTTCTCTCTCTCTCTCTCGTTTCTCCTTTCTTCATCTGGTTCATTATCTTCTTCTCTTTCCCTGTCTTTATCTCTTTCCTTCCAGCTTCTACTTTCTCCTCTTTATTACCATATTTATCCAAATCTCCTCCTATATTTCTCTCTC